CCTAATGACAGGTTGTCGGCAGGGGACGGGATGGGTGAGTAAGAAATGGAATCCCCTCGGGACTCAAAATTTTGCTATCGGTTTTTGCCTCGGAATTCTTCCACTTATTGATCCTTTAAGGGCATCCGGAAATCCGGAATTTGAAGGTATTTTAGAAAACAGCAATTTCCGGTTATCGTAAGCCAACGCAAACTTTATATTCTCAGCTGTTTTATCAAATCTTTTTTATTTTTTTTTGGCTTTTTCGGCGTTAGGCATTATTTGTGGATTCTAATTCCAAGTCCCTTTAAACCGTTAATGCGCTCTACTTTGGTCATTTTGTGCTAGACAAAAATCGAGTCATTATTTGGGTTCTCTCCCCACTCTCGAGTGACCACCCCCTGTTTTCTAAATAATGACTCACAAGTGAATGATTTTAACGGTTCTCACGGCTTTTCCTCTGCCGCGGATTTTTCTTCCCCCAGACTCTCTGCTAGCCAGCTAGCCCAGCTCCTAAATGATCTCTGCTACGTCTCCCTACCCTATTCAAATTAGGTTTCCCATTTTCGATCAAAGCCTTCAGTTTCCTAAATGGTCTCTGCTAGCTTGCCTCAACTTCTGGCAGATTGCTGCTAACTCCTGAAAAGCTCTAGCGTTGCTCCTAATTTCCGGATCAGCTTTTTGGATTTTTCAAGGGTCTCTGCTAGCTGGCCCTGCTTCAAAACAAGTAAATCCCAAAAAGGGTGGATCTTCCGCAAATAATCCCTGCTAGACCGCCCTGAATGTACCATGGATTCAATGTTTGCCAAGCTTTTTAGAGACAGGGCTTGGCGGCCGAGTCGATCGGGTTAGATTCATCTTCTTGCTCTCTGTCGCTCTCTTTATATCTCGTCTCTCTATCGCTTGGTCTCTCTCTCGCTATCTCTTTGTCTCTCTCTTTCTCTCGACTCTCGCCTTACTCCTCACCATCCACGGCCATCTGGCCATTGTGTGTGTTGGTGGTGGATGGTGGTAGTGAGTGGATGGACATGCCCTCCAGCTATATGCTATCTCTCTCTCCCTCTCTCTCTCTCTCTCTCTCTCTCTCTCTCTCTCTCTCTTTCACTCGCCTCTTTTGCATTGATTTTTCGCCTGGGCCCCCTCTGCTCGACCCGCTATTTTTGTTGGCCCCTTTTTGCCATTGCGGGTGGCTACGCGGATTACGTGGATTAGGTGTTGTAACCTGATGTTGGGGGCCAAATCAACGCCGCACTCAACTACGGCAAAAACTTTTTGTTACGCTGGCAATTTGTCAAAATATTTAAGTTATTTTTGATTTGGATTTGCCAAGATTCCTTGCAAAATCTAGCTTGACAATCTTCTTCCAGAAGTGAAACTGGAAAAAATGGCGAGCTCCATGTCCCCAATTGCCTCTGCTACTCCGGTTACATACCTAAAAAAATCTCTACTAACTTGCCTAGCTTCTGAAATTGATTTGCTTTTTCTTGGCAAATCTATCTATTAAAAGCGCAAAAATAAAGATTTCTCGACCAAAAACGTGCGACTACTAAAAAATTCATTCAAACTATTTTCCGGGTATTAACTATTACTATTCGATTGTTTTTCCATTGAAATATTGTTAAATTTTGCTAACAAATTTACCGATAAATCCACCCCCCCCCCCGATAATAAAAAAGATCCGATTTTCCTACGGTAAAATATGTTTTCCGGACAAATCTTGGTGGGGATGGTCAAAGGCTAGTTGCTTCGTTTTTTCTAAATTTTTTAGAAGAATTTTTATCTTGTTCAGCTTGATTTGAATTCGTCACTTCCTTGTGGCGACGGTTAGACTCGATTTGCCTTCCTTCATTAATTTTCCTCCATACAATTTTCGTCAATTTGCCCCCATGACCATGGCCTATACAAACAATTTTCCGCGCTCCATCCGCCCATCGCATCAACACAAAATTCTCCATCCCCCTCCTCGAACCGCCCTTTTTTATGAAACAGATTTGATTGATGACAGTGAATGCGAAGCGGGGCTGATTCGCTGAATCAACCTGTTTTCGAGGGCATTTATTTTCCACATTTCAGGGGGTTATGCGCTACTTTTAATCAATGATTTTAACCGTTTTTCTGCCTAGACTGTCCAAATGGTAGCTCTTTTTATATTTTTTATTCAACCAAAAAAATCCCCAATTTTTTACGATTCTGAGCTGCAATTGGATCGTGCGAAACGGTCAAAAATGTAGCACTTGTATTTACATTTTCCGGCATTTTCACACGTTCTTAAATGCTTATCGGATGCGTTTTCCGAAAGCAAATTTTTAGATTCGATTTTTTTCCAATAATCGATAGGCAATTTTTGCCAACAGCGATGAATTTATCAAAATGGTTAGAATCAACCTAACTATTCAACGTTTTAACCTGTTTTCTCAATTCTAAAACAATTTTTATTTTCCCAAATTTGCACGCCAAAAATACACATAAAATCAGTGCTAGTTACTCTAAAAATATCATGAATTTTCGAGAAAATCTCGCAATTACGATTTTCTAACCCAAAATCATAACACACGCCGGAACGGGGTTGGATTGGAATTTATGCCAGCGCAAAACAAGCAATGCTAGTGGTCGTTAATTGATAGCGTAGCTAGAGAGGTCCGGCTATCTCTCTCGTTCTCTCTCTCTCTTTCTCTCCCTCTCTCTCTCTTTCTCTCTTGCCACCTCGTAAAAAAAGATAAATTCACGAGCGGGGGAAAAGCCCCGAGGCGATGTGGCGGGAGGGCAGGTTGCGGTTTGATCACACGCTAGAGCTGTGTAACACCCCCTTGTGGCTAGAGGAACCTGTTCGATTGGCACCTATGGATATACGCATGCATATCATCGCGATTATCAGGCTGTATTTTTAAGCTGAAGATCTTTTTAAGCTTGGCTTCTTTTAGGTCTCAATGCATTACGACACCTATTTCCTACGTCAGTTCGGCGCTTTTTCCTTTATCCACCGATTTTTTTTGCTCTTGCTCATCATACCTTTGATGCTTGTCTCTCTGAACTTACTTTATCCGGAACCCCTCGATGCCATTTTCAAACAATTCCCATTTCACAGCTTTTGAGATTTCCATTCTTTCAGGGACTATGAAGACCGAAATTTGCACCATCGTCGGCTAGGTCTCGACAGTCAAACGGTTCTCCAAAATGGAAATTTTTTCTGTTCAAAATCCAAATCCAAAATTTTTCTGAGAAACTTTGCGGACTCTTTCTCTCTCTCTCTTTCTCTCTCTCTCTCTCTCTCTCTCTCTCTCTCTCTCTCTTTCTCTCTCTTTTTCTCTCACATTCTTTGAATTCCGTGATTTCCAGCTTTTTTCTACGCCTCGTTCCCATGGCTGCTAACTAACCGGCCTTCTTTCTACTCCTTCGGGACGCCGGAATCCAATTTTCCGCTTGTAAACGGCAGTGAGAGAGAGAGCGAGAGAGAGAGAGAGAGAGTGAGAGAGGCAGAGACAGAAAATCAGAGAACGGATAATTGTATAGATTTTACGAGCGGTCCTCCTCTCCTTCCTCCCGGTTCGTCCGGATGACCTTTTCACTACTGTGCACAACTTGTTTCCCCTCCGCGCCGTAGTCCCGCGCCCGTTTTCACACAATTTATCGAGTCATTCCGCGTTGCGCCAATTGACGGAGCGCAGGACAGCTGCTGAACAGGTTCGGAAACGCGTTGTTTTTGCAATAGTTTGGGTCGATTTATGGAATTTCTCGATATCTTGGACTTTTTTTAAGGTTTTAAAGTTTTAATTATAACTTTTTTATCTGATTTTCCGCTTTATTTTGTCAAAATCATCTTTTCACCTTGTTTTTCAGTGAATGAACCGCTAGACTACAAACTACATCTACAACCATCTTAAAAATGGTCAAAGAAAAAGAAGAAAATGGTGGCAGTGCCGGCCCAGCCGATGAACCGGTACCCCTCGAGAAATTACTGCGGATTGCTGATTTGCTACGGTAGGCCGTTACGGTATTCGGAAAAAATTTTTTTGAAATATAGGAGGTTGTCTAAAATATTAAATTAATCGAGGCCAGAAACGAGCGGTAGAGCTATTCAAAATCTAAATTGGTCCAGAAAAATTTTTCGAATTTTTTGTGGCTGGGACACTGACGAGAAAAATATTATCTTTCCCCTCCGAGATTTCTGCTAAATTGTTTGGGATGTTTCCAGATGCAAAACGCCCCATATATTGATTTTTAAAGAAGCCTAGACCCAGTCAAAATCTATAATTTGGCCCAAACCAGCAACCATTCTGTATCCCCGGGCTATTGTATCCTAGCCTACCACTCAGCGGGGGTCCATCCAATTTACGCCTCGTCCAACGGGTCCGGGCGACACATTAAATTTGCATAAAAGGGGCCTGTTGAAAGGGAGGGGAGGGGCAGATAAATCCGGCCCGGCACCTCTTCACGTTCAAAGAAAAGCCGCTATATACCATCGGCCCTAAATCCGGGACTGTCATTTGTGCAGATCCGGAGCCTTGGCCTCGCAGTTCCGATTAATTTTTGTGATTCGAGGTTGAATACTGTCATTTTTACATAGGTTTTTTTCTCGCCTTTTTTTAAACTAATTCGCGGCGCGTTTCAAAAAGTGTAATTGCAAACGCCCGAAAATATCTTTTCTTTTCAGCGGGATGCGACAATCGCTCTTTTCTTGTTTTTTTTGGCTGCTTTGATTTAGCCATTAAGTTAAAAAAAAATATAAATCCCGGATCATTGATCAGGATTGTGATGGGCAAAGTCCCTTTCGTCTGTCCAAGGGCAAAATTTGCATAACGGAACTGCTGTTTACTAGGGCCACCGATAGCGAAAGTTCCAAAATTCCAAAGAGGAATAAAAAAATTATAAATAAGCATCATTACGTTTAATATATAAAAAGTAGAGTGATACCAGACAAATCGAAATTTCATAGGTACGAGGAAAAACTCCGCAACGTCTTGAAGCTACGTCACGCGGGCGATCTTCAGTACGTCGACGAGGTGGACCTGAATGGGATTGGCATGAGTCGACCAGAGCAGAAGCGACTACGCCAAGAATATCAGAAGCTGTTCCCGAAAATCGGAGTGTTTGGAAAGTTGAAAAAGGTAGAAGAGAGACAAAGAAAGAGAGAGAGAGAGAGAGAGAGAGCGCGAGAGATAGTGAGTGAGAAAGAGAGCGATTGAGCAAGAGAGGCATAGGGAGAAATCAAGCAGTTTCGAAATTTCAGGCCTTCACAAAAACCGAAAATGGTCACCACGTGGAGGCAAGGGAGGAGTCGAAGACCGAGCAGCATGTTATTCCCATCGAAAAGGTATTTAAATCAGAATTTCATAAGTTGACCCTAATTTCTAGATAACCCTGACAAAAGAGCTAGGAAAAGGGGAATTCGGAGCCGTCTGGCAGGCGTCTTGGAATAACGGACCGGCCAGTCAGGACACCATGCAGGTAGGGCTAAATTTGAACCTTGAAAACTGTAGAAAATGCAGGTACTGTTAATCAATAAAATAGTGTAAAAAATTACTAGAAAATTTTGTTTTTAGGTGGCCGTAAAGGTGATCGCCACCGGCAAGCTGGTCAACTGCACCACGAGTTTTCTCTCTGAAGCCGCTATTATGACAAGGTAACCAGCGATTCGTTTGTGACAATTTGAAACTCATCAAAGTACTATGAAATTTAGTAATAAGTAAAATACCCTTAGATTAAAAATTTAACCTTGAAAAAATTTACGTTTTTTACTTCTGGACAGGGTCTGGATCGGTATAAGGAAAGCAAGAGCATCTTCCAGAATGCGCCACGACCACGTCGTCCAGCTGTATGGTGTCGTACTGGACACCCGGCAAGTGATGCTCGTCTCGGAATTAGCCACCTGTGGCTCCCTTCTTGAATGCCTTCACAAACCGGCACTTCGAGACCTCTTTCCGGTTGATGTGCTATGCGAATATGCGTGTAAGTTGGAGAGAAATTGAACCCGCATCCGGTTTTCACTTCCGAATCTTAAAAAGAGAACCGAAAAGCCTGGACACTCTAAAAAATGTCGATGAACTTCGAAACAAAGTTTACATTTTTGCTAATTTTTTTTTATAGTACAAATCGCCGGCGGCATGGCTTACCTCGAATCACAGCGGTTGATCCATAGGGATCTGGCTGCCAGGAATGTGTTGGTTTTTGGACCCAAGAAGGTAGGAATTTGTCTAAATTGTTTAAAAGTGTTAACAATATACCCAAAACTTCGAATGCGGACATAGATGTCTTTACATTTTACATTACATACATTTTTGCAGATAAAAATCTCCGACTTTGGCCTCTCCCGATCCCTTGGAGTCGGCGAGGATTACTACCGCAGTGAATTTTCGCCAACGCTGAAGCTTCCGATTGCATGGTAAGTTACAATTTTCAGTAAGATGATGGTAGTTTATAAAACCGAATTTCAAAAATTTCTGTGGAATATACCTTTTGCTTCGAAAAACGGACATTAAAGCTTCATTTTCTCTAAAAAACGCGGTAAAAATCTTTGAAAACATAATTCAGTATCTTTTTAGGTGCGCCCCCGAATGCATCAACTTCCTCAAGTTCACCTCGGCATCTGATGTGTGGTCGTATGCTGTCACGTTGTGGGAGATGTTCAGCTATGGGGAGATGCCGTGGCAAGATTTTAATGGGGCTCAGGTAAGCGTTACTCTCTCACCCTCTCGCTCTCTCTATCTCTATCTATCTCTCACACTCTCTCGCTTTGTCTCTGTTTCTTCTCGCTTCTAAACCTCGATTTTAGATCCTGGAAGCCGTGGATCGTCGCTGTGAACACCTTGATAGGCCCCAGTTTTGCCCTGACGATATGTGGGATTTGTTGAAGGATTGCTGGCAGCATAATCCGGATAAACGGCCCACTTTTAAGGATATAGGTATGTAAACTCGTTACTGTCTCTCTCTCTCTCTCTCTCTCTCTCTCTCTCGCTCTCTCTCTCTTTCTCGCTCTCTTTCTCTATCTCCCTATCTCTCTCACGCACACACTCGCCATCGTGCTCTCTCTCACAATCTCGCGCTCTCTCACTCGCTCTATCTGTCTCTATCTCTCGTTTCCTCTCTCACTCTCTGTAACCCAATCTTTTCCAGTCGACAACTTCCACGACCGTGTCCCACAAACCGTTCGAACCGTCGAAGAAGCCGCCCGGAAACCCGAGCCATTCCTGCAGTTCAAGCGCGACGAGCTGATTACGGTGCTTTGCCGCAGGTACGGTAGCTTATCCGCATTTTCTAGAATATAATCAGGCGGTTAAAAAGTTATCAAAAAACGTAAAAAATGATTTTTCCAATTTTTCAGCCCCGAAGCCTACCCGGATGGCTACTACTGGCTTGGATCGATGAAGAACGGGAAAGTCGGGTATTTCCGGCCGACAGATACGGTAATTTGGAATAACGATATTTGCGCAATTCATATACTGTCGAATTAATCTATACCAGGGTTGAAAAGCCGCTTCGCGACTTTTCAACCCTGGCCCCGTCTGATCCCATCATTTCCTGCAC